TTAACAATCAGTAGGAAGGTTCAGCAGGCAGTGACAAAAAATAGAAGGGAATATTAGACCAGCAATGGATTTCATTCAGTTCAAAAAATTTGAAAACAATTGTGAAAAATTTGCCATTTTTGCCCTATATGAGGTGATAGATTTTGAATGATAAATTCTTGAATATTGATTTGCAAGACTTAACAATCAGTAGGAATGTTCAGCAGGCACTGACAAAAGACAGAAGGGAATATTAGACCAGCAAATGATTTCATTCAGTTCAAAAAATTTGAAAACAATATTGCAATTTGCCAGACTTAACAATTAGTAGGTATGTTCAGCATGCACTGACAAAAGATAGAAGGGAATATTAGACCAGCAATTGATTTCATTCAGTTCAAAAAATTTGAAAACAATATTGCAATTTGCTAGACTTAACAATAAGTAGGAATGTTCAGCAGGCACTGACAAAAGATAGAAGGGAATATTAGACCAGCAATGGATTTCATTCAGTTCAAAAGATTTGAAAACAATTATGAAAAATTTGCAATTTTTGCCTTATATGAGGTGATAGATTTTGAATGATAAATTCTTGAATATTGATTTGCAAGACTTAACAATCAGTAGGAATGTTCAGCAGGCACTGACAGAAGATAGAAGGGAATATTAGACCAGCAAATGATTTCATTCAGTTCAAAAAATTTCATTGCCAGAAAAAAGTGACATTTAGAAATGGTCAGCGGGGCGCATCGTCACATATTGCGCATGCGCTAAGACTTAAAATTCAACATGGCGTCGAGAAAGAGAAGATGCGGGCATTCGCAAGGGTTTTATCGTGATCTAAACGCATTGACGTCTGGCGATTTAAATAATCGTATAAAGAAGAGGAAAACAAAAACATTGCAGGGTTTTTATACAGTGGAGCGTATAATATCTTCAAGAGAACGGGAAAATGTAAGTCCAAAGCACATCACTTTGTTATTAGCTTTTAAAAATACGCTGCAGCCTGCAACGTGGTTTTCCTTCTGTCAGGTAAAAACTAAATACATATTGGCTATATTTATGGACAATTTACGGTAAACAGATTTCGTTATTATCGTTAAAGTTATGGTTAAATAATTATTTCTTTATTTTATGTACATACAGGAATTGCAATATCTTGTTAAATGGAAAGACTGGCCTTCCTCTAGTTGCTCATGGGAACCAGCCAACCATTTGGGCAAAGAGCTAATACCGTATATGAACAGTTTTATAATTATAGGTGCAAATTCTCAATACAAGTAATATCATTGATCATTTGATCTCAATAGTAGGTATTAAGCTAATTTCAAGCTGCCAGACATGGTTAAATTATTATTTTATTTGAAATTCTGTTTGTGATTATGCACAAATATACTTCTGTTTTATTTTCTATTTTGTAGGAATTTCAATGCATGTACTCCAAGTCCCAACAAAGAGCGGATTGTCGTTGCTACTGAAAAATTTGCTGATGCTGTTCTGAGCCGTTTAAAATCTAAATGTTTGGAACCCAAGGTTAATGTTGATATGGATCATGATATTTTCCGCTTTTTGGTAAAAGGCAAAAGAAAAGAAGTTGCTGATTTTCCCGGGTCATTGCTACTTGGAAAGGCTGATTTCTCACGCTTTAAATTGCACAAATACTGGTGGTATTTTCTCAACCGTGATGGTCAAGGACGGACAGTGCATTTTCCAATAAGGGCTAAACCTGTTCTTAAATGGTCTGCAAAACGATATATGTTGGTAAATGGATGTATTTCTCCAGCTCCACAAAAGCCAATTGAGATTGTTTCATTTTTTATTGCTAGAAATCAAGCGAACAAAGAATAGTTATAATTATACGAACAACAGTGGTTAGAATAAAATACTCTTAAAATGGTATTGTACAGTATGTAACTTTAATGGGTACTTAAATTGTTATTGAATGTTTGTCAGATACAGTATAGTAATCTGGCTATTTGCCAAGACATTTTAACTTCTCCTTAATTTCTTCAATGCTGAGATCATCAACATTAATAGTGATATCATCTTCAGAAGTAATTTCCCTTGGGTCTACACCTAATCGCTTTCGCTGTTTTCGTTGTACGTATATTTCATTGTCCCAGTAATTATTGGCTCTTTTGACATACTTTTGTGGCTCCCTTTCATGATGCTGCAACCTGTCAATCCTCTTTAATGCCAGTAGCGCTTCACTGCAGGCATCATGCTTGTTTGATTTATTATGATATATGGACCGTACAATGTCATTAATTTTCTCGATGCCTTGTCCGGTAAATCTTTTAACAGACATTTCCTGCTTAAAAAATCGTGGTACATGATAACAGAGCATATGTATGTATGGTGTAACATTGTGTTTGCCCTAGCCATCCTCTTCATTTCCTAAACTAAGGAAAATTCTCACCCATTCTGTTGCCTAGTAAATGCAAGTATAACAGTGCATGATGAGTTCTGAGTTCTACGCCTCACATTACTATCAACACTGGCATTCTTCCCCCTCCAAAGAGTTTTCAAAGTAGAATATTAGTACATTTCTTTAACTGATATGCATGTGGAGTGTATATTATAATAAACTTCTCCAACCGTACCTTTTCAAAGAAGGAGTTTTTCACTTCTTGACTTGGCTGCCATGTAGTTATATTTTCATAGAGATTGGTAAAATCCTAAGCTAAATAATTATTGTTTTATATTTTTGCCATAATTATTTCAAATATTTAAACATGATAGAGTATCAGTAAATACCTCTTTCATTATAGTTCTGTTGTAGTAAAGTAATAAAGTCTTGTTCATGCATGTGACAGATATGTGTTTTTAGTGCATTTCCTCCTCAATATGTAAAAGGTTATATCCTGAAAATTATTTGTATAGCAATTGTCAAGTATATTACTGCCAACTACCTTCCAAAGCTTTATCACTTTCTGACAGCTGTTTTCAGGGAGCAAGCCATCCAACTTGTCTGGAAGGTTTTTGAGAACTCTTTTTTTGTCACTCCCTACCATGCTTGACCAATCATAATATCCACTGCCTTTTTTGTCTCCATTTGGCTTCTCCCAAATGCTGAAAGCAACACCACAATCATTGATTCCTGCGACTAGGTTTGTTAGATGTGTGTTTGTTCTACAACGATGAACTGCTTCTCTAAAATCCCACTCAATGCAGGAATTTATTATGTTTCTCTCCAAAATATCTGTGATAAAAAATAATAGTAGTATAGTATTGACGGCAAAGTTAATTGCATGACTGACATCTTTCCCAGCCATATTTCTCCTATTAATCCCATTAAGCCACAATGTGCCCTACATAATTGCAATCCTTGACATCTTAGCGCCATCTCCACTTATCTTTACTTTTTCTCCATCATTATTAATTGATCCTTCATCCATTTTCTGTTATTATACAATTCAAGAATAACATTTTAATGACAAGTCTATATATCATGATAGTAACTATATGACATTAATGCTCTACAATTATAATAGTCCTAATAATATTTGTTGCATGGATTAATTACATCCAACTGCATGAGGATATTTAGTTTATAAATTTAAAGACAGATGTATAATTTGAAAACAGAGGGTTGTTGATAGGAATATTTTTGTGAGACCTTGTAAGGTGTTTGATTATAAGGTAATTAATACATGCAGCTCAATAGATGAATATAACCTGGCTAACCTTTTTCAGCTGATAATGAAGTTCTTCTTTGAAACTCATTTGAACACCAGGTTGTTCTCCTGGTGTCCTTGTTATATGTATGAGCTTATTAAGGTCGCTCCTACATTGTCGTACTAAATAACTCCTCTCCATGCCATGTACACTCATTGAAAATTCATGGTAGGCAGCATCAATGACAGAAAACCTGTCCATAATAAAAAGCACACCTCGAATTTTATCTTGATCCTCATTACTCAATTCACTAAAAATTGACTTCTTTTTTCCCATTTTGCAAAATCGATTTGTTGTGGCTTACCATCATTGTCAACAAGTGACAATGAATGTAATTTCACACTAAAGCTTTCTACAAACCAAAGTGCCCTTTCCACCCTTGTTGAAAGCAGTTTCGAATCTTTTGTCTCTTGCCTACCTCAGACAGGCTCTTTCCACTGTTATTTAGTTCCTCATCACAAACACTGCATGCATGGCTATAACCTTCAAGGCTTTCAAGATAGTCGATGTAACTCCTCAGTTCTTTATTTTCATTGGCTAGAGTTTCCAGCGCTATGTTATGTGTTTCTTGTTCTTTTTTCAGTTTTTGCTTTTCAACTATTAGCTCTGCAAGCAATTCCTCACATCTTTCATCCACTTCCTTCAGTTTCTCTTTCAAGTTTAAATTCTCCTGCTCTGCTTCTAACACTCGTTTGCTCAGGTTACTAACATTCACCAATTCATCGCCATACACATATATAATTTTAACTTTTTGAAGAAACTTTTCTCTGGTGTAGCCAGCAGTGCCTTTACATTGATTTTCAACTCCGCTAGATAGAACTCGAAATCTTTCCTCTAGTCTAGGGGCATCTTCCTTAATTTCAAAAGGAAGATCGTGAGCACCTAAGCGATAGATTTGTAGGAATGAGACGCTCGGAATTCGCTTCTTTATTCCTCTCCATTGCAGTAATGTCTTGTTGGAAACACTAATCTTTAACAGAGGATATCCACTTCTCTGCTCTAGAACATATCCAACAGAAGGTGGGGAACATAGATTTTTAAGTTCTTTTTGGACTTGAATATCAAGACTACACATTATATATTTATATATGTAAATCCCGATGAAAATTCAGGTCGTAATTTTGCAAATTTACCCAAGCAAAGCCAATAAAGCGTTTAAACTTTGGCGCTCTTTTGTGTTTTGGTGTATTTTTAATGAGTTTGAAGAGTGTACCGCTGACTGTATGGTACCACATGCTCAATATTCACCCGTTTCGTCTGTTTCCATACGGCTATTAGCCGGTAAAAAACACCCCAAACGGACGGGCTGTCAGCCGTGTAACGTACGTCTGTTTGTACGTTGAGTTCTGCCAATTATAGTTTCTACAGAAATTCTTTACCTAAATCTGAAGTTAAACGAAAAATTACGTTTATAATTTTAAAGAATGAAGTGGTAAGATACTGAACTTTAGAAGTACATGAGATTCTGCTGGAAAATGCGAATATTTTTATTTGTTATGAATTTAATTCTGGAATAAACGACGCCATCTTTTACAATTACAAGATTCTAATAATGTTTCTTTGGGCTATGAGTGAGTCAATTGGAAAGAGTTTACTCTTATAACAGTTTTTAACAGTTTTATTGTGGTATTTTTCTTTAATTTTTCAAAGTAAGGCAATTTTGTTAGGCATCTGGCTTGATGATATAACTAGTATGGGGTACATATTTATTTTGGTTTCTTTATATCAATGGTTTATATGAATTATGCAACTTTGCAATGATTTATAGGTAAGGACTGCAGAAACTGTAGGTCAAATTATATCAAATATGTACCATCTAAGTGATATTTGCTGATATGTGTAAAAAAAGTTGCCTAATTCAAGCCTTCTGTTCCTGTAGTCATTCATCATCATGATGGTCTCACAGAAATGGAGAAGGTTGCTCAGCCTACAAGGTTTTTACAAGAAAGTAATGATGATGAGATACATGAGCAAATTATATTTTCTGAAATAGAGGATGAAGGATTAGACGAGAGGATCAGTGAAGTTGATAGCACAACTCCTTATCAAAAAGCCCAGAGAAAACAAAAAGGCTTAGGATGATATCAGAACAGAAATGTTCACTATAGAACTGATCATGGAAGTAGAGATACTTGTAGCATACTTCGTCATGCAAGAACCATGCATATGCAAAATAAAAGCTATGGTACTTGCATGTATATATGTTATTGACATATATGTGTCAATAAATGTTGAGAAGTATTTTAATGATTTTATTTTTATCCACAGGCATTCTTAGTAATTGTAGTGTGGACTGTGCAATCTTCCTCAGATTGTTCACCTATTGCAGTTTGAAGATACAAGCAAAGAGAAATTTTCAAATAATGTCATATTTCTTTAATCCTATCCTTTCTGTTATGCAAAATATATGTAATAAATAAACCATTGGGTGTGTAGTGGTGGTATATTGTTGTCGATATTGTTCTTGAAAAAGCCTTTAATGCAACCATAACAAAACACCATTAATATTATAACTATAATATTTAAAACACTGCATGTAGCTCTATAACATATACCTATGCTGTATGGTACATGGTGTATAAATGCTGATATTACATAGTTTGCAGCATGAAATCATATTCACGGCTGGCAGCCGTATAACGTACGTCCGCTGTATGGTATATGGTGGTTGAATGCTGATATAGAGAGTTTGCAGCATGAAATCATATTCACGGCTGGCAGCCGTATAACGTACGTCCGCTGTATGGTATATGGTGGTTGAATGGTGATATTAGAGAGTTTGCACCATGAAATCATATTCACGGCTGGCAGCCGTATAACGTACGTCCGCTGTATGGTATATGGTGTATGAATGGTGATATTACATAGTTTGCAGCATGAAATCATATTCACGGCTGGCAGCCGTATAACGTACGTCCGCTGTATGGTATATGGTGTATGAATGCTGATATTAGAAAGTTTGCAGCATGAAATCATATTCACGGCTGGCAGCCGTATAACGTACGTCTGCTGTATGGTATATGGTGGTTGAATGGTGATATTAGAGAGTTTGCAGCATGAAATCATATTCACGGCTGGCAGCCGTATAACGTACGTCTGCTGTATGGTATATAGTGGTTGAATGGTGATATTAGAGAGTTTGCAGCATGAAATCATATTCACGGCTGGCAGCCGTATAACGTACGTCTGCTGTATGGTATATGGTGGTTGAATGGTGATATTAGAGAGTTTGCAGCATGAAATCATATTCACGGCTGGCAGCCGTATAACGTACGTCGCTGTATGGTATATGGTGTTGAATGTGATATTAGAGAGTTTGCAGCATGAAATCATATTCACGGCTGGCAGCCGTATAACGTACGTCTGCTGTATGGTATATGGTGGTTGAATGGTGATATTAGAGAGTTTGCAGCATGAAATCATATTCACGGCTGGCAGCCGTATAACGTACGTCTGCTGTATGGAATATAGTGGTTGAATGGTGATATTAGAGAGTTTGCAGCATGAAATCATATTCACGGCTGGCAGCCGTATAACGTACGTCGGCTGTACGGTATATGGTGGTTGAATGGTGATATTAGAGAGTTTGCAGCATGAAATCATATTCACGGCTGGCAGCCGTATAACGTACGTCCGCTGTATGGTATATGGAGTATGAATGGTGATATTAGAGAGTTTGCAGCATGAAATCATATTCACGGCTGGTAGCCGTATAACGTACGTCTGCTGTATGGTATATGGTGGTTGAATGGTGACATTAGAGAATTTGCAGCATGAAATCATATTCACGGCTGGCAGCCGTATAACGTACGTCTGCTGCATGGTATATGGTCGTTGAAAAGTGATATTAGAGAGTTTAAACCATGAAATCATATTTAAATCGCGATTTATCCATTACAGTCATACTTTTGCAGTAATTTCCACCATCTTGTTTCTAAATTCTGAGCCGAATTAATTATTGCCCAACCACCGAATGTCACTTTTTTTTTGGCGATGTGAAAACAATATTGCAATTTGCCAGACTTAACAATCAGTAGGAATGTTCAGCAGGCACTGACAAAAGATAAAAGGGAATATTAAACCAGCAATTGATTTCATTCAGTTCAAAAAATTTGAAAACAATTGTGAAAAATTTGCAATTTTTGCCTTATATGAGGTGATAGATTTTGAGTGATAAATTCTTGAATATTGATTTGATATACTTAACAATCAGTAGGAATGTTCAGCAGGCACTTGCAAAAAATAGAAGGGAATATTAGACCAGCAATGGATTTCCTTCAGTTCAAAAAATTTGAAAACAATTGTAAAAAATTTGCAATTTTTGCCTTATCAGGTGATAGATTTTGAATGATAAATTCTTGAATATTGATTTGCAAGACTTAACAATCAGCAGGAATGTTTAGCAGGCACTGACAAAAGATAGAAGGGAATTTTAGACCAGCAAATGATTGCATTCAGTTCAAAAAATTTGAAAACAATTGTGCAAAATTTGCCTTATATGAGGTGATAGATTTTGAATGATAAATTCTTGAATATCAATTTCCTAGACTTAACATTCAGTAGGAATGTTCAGCAGGCACTGACAAAAGATAGAATGGAATATTAGGCCAGCAATTGATTTCACTCAGTTCAAAAAATTTAAAAACAATTGTGCAAAATAGCAATTTTTGCTTTACATGAGGTGATAGATTTTGAATGATAAATTCTTGAATATTGATTTGCTAGACTTAAAAATCAGTAGGAATGCTCAGCAGGCACTCACAAAAGTTAGAATAGAATATTAGACCAGCATTTGATTTCATTCAGTTCAAAAAATTTGAAAACAATTGTGCGAAATTTTCAATTTTTGCCTTATATGAGGTCATAGATTTTGAATGATAAATTCTTGAATATTGATTTGCTAGACTTAACAATCAGTAGGAATGTTCAGCAGGCACTGACAAAAAATGGAAGGGAATATTAGACCAGCAATGAATTTCATTCAGTTAAAAAAATTTGAAAACAATATTGCAATTTGCTAGACTTAACAATCAGTAGGAATGTTCAGCCGGCACTGAAAAAAGATAGAAGGGAATATTAGACCAGCAAATGAATTCATTCAGTTCAAAAAATTTGAAAACAATTGTGCAAAATTTGCCTTATATGAGGTGATAGATTTTTAATGATAAATTCATGAATATTGATTTCCTAGACTTAACATTCAGTAGGAATGTTCAGCAGGCACTCACAAAAGATAGAAAGGATTATTAGGTCAGCAATTGTTTTCACTCAGCTCAAAAATTTAAAAACAATTGTGCAAAATAGCAATTTTTGCTTTACATGAGGTGATAGATTTTAAATGATAAATTCTTGAATATTGATTTGCTAGACTTAAAAATCAGTAGGAATGCTCAGCAGGCACTGACAAAAGACAGAATAGAATATTAGACCAGAATTTGATTTCATTCAGTTCAAAAAATTTGAAAACAATTGTGCAAAATTTTCAATTTTTGCCTTATATGAGGTCATAGATTTTGAATGATAAATTCTTGAATATTGATTTGCTAGACTTAACAATCAGTAGGAATGTTTCAGCAGGCACTACAAAATGGAAGGGAATATTAGACCAGCAATGGATTTCATTCAGTTCAAAAAATTTGAAACAATATTGCAATTTGCTAGACTTAACAATCAGTAGGAATTTTCAGCATGCACTGACAAAAGATAGAAGGGAATATTAGACCAGCAATGGATTTCATTCAGTTCAAAAAATTTGAAAACAATTGTGAAAAGTTTGGCATTTTTGCCTTATATGAGGTGATAGATTTTGAATGATAAATTCTTGAATATTGATTTGCAAGACTTAACAATCAGTAGGAATGTTCAGCAGGCACTGACAAAAGACAGAAGGGAATATTAGACCAGCAAATGATTTCATTCAGTTCAAAAATTTGAAAACAATAGTGCAAAATTTGCCTTATATGAGGTGATAGATTTTGATTGATAAATTCTTGAATATTGATTTGCTAGACTTAAAAATCAGTAGGAATGCTCAGCAGGCACTGACAAAAGACCGAATAGAATATTAGACCAGCATTTGATTTCATTCAGTTCAAAAAATTTGAAAACAATTGTGCAAAATTTTCAATTTTTGCCTTATATGAGGTGATAGATTTTGAATGATAAATTCTTGAATTTTTATTTGCTAGACTTAACAATCAGTAGGAATAATCAGCAGGCACTGATAAAGGTAGAAGGGAATATTAGACCGGCAATGGGTTTCACTTTGTTCAAAAAATTAAAAACAATTGTAAAAAATTTGCAATTTTTGCCTTATATGAGGTGATAGATTTTGAATGATAAATTCTTGAATTTTGATTTGCTAGACTTAAAAATCAGTAGGAATGCTCAGCAGGCACTGACAAAAGACAGAATAGAATATAAAACCACCATTTGATTTCATTCAGTTCAAAAAATTTGAAAACAATTGTTAAAAATTTGCAAAATTTGCCTTATATGACGTGATAGATTTTGATTGATAAATTCCTGAATATTGATTTGCTAGACTTAACATTCAGTAGGAATGTTCAGCAGGCACTGACAAAAGAAAGAAAGGAATATTAGGCCAGCAATTGATTTCACTCAGTTCAAAAAAATTAAAAACAATTGTGCAAAATTTTCAATTTTTGCTTTACATAAGGTGATAGATTTTGAATGATAAATTCTTGAATATTGATTTGCTAGACTTAACAATCAGTAGGAATGTTCAGCAGGCACTGACAAAAAATAGAAGGGAATATTAGACCAGCAATTGCATGATTTCAATTTTCAATTTGCAATGATTTTCAATTTGACTTAACAATCAGTAGGAATAATCAGCAGGCACTGATAAAGGTAGAAGGGAATATTAGACCGGCAATGGATTTCACTTTGTTCAAAAAATTTAAAAACAATTGTGAAAAATTTGCAATTTTTGCCTTATATGAGTTGATAGATTTTGAATGATAAATTCTTGAATTTTGATTTGCTAGACTTAAAAATCAGTAGGAATGCTCAACAGGCACTGACAAAAGACAGAATAGAATATAAGACCACCATTTGATTTCATTCAGTTCAAAAAATTTGAAAACAATTGTGAAAAATTTGCAAAATTTGCCTTATATTTGGTGATAGATTTTGAATGATAAATTCTTGAATATTGATTTGCAAGACTTAACAATCAGTAGGAATGTTCAGCAGGCACTGACAAAAGATAGAAGGAAATATTAGACCAGCAAATGAATTCATTCAGTTCAAAAAATTTGAAAACAATTGTGCAAAATTTGCCTTATATGAGGTTATAGATTTTTAATGATAAATTCATGAATATTGATTTCCTAGACTTAACATTCAGTAGGAATGTTCAGCAGGCACTCACAAAAGATAGAAAGGATTATTAGGCCAGCAATTGTTTTCACTCAGTTCAAAAAATTTAAAA